GACAGACAGACAGATTGCAGAAAAAAAAATTCAGAACGCCATAATGAACACAAAACGCTCGTGTTTCATTACTAATATTTTCCCGTCTATAAAGCCGGAAACTGGGGGGGGGGGGGTCATATGGTAGGAAGAAGGGGAAAAATGTGTACGTGATACAGTAGACAGCAGGGATAGTATAATGTCAGCCACATGTATAATTCCTTTACATCATTCGTGTGCTTGTTCATCATCATCATCATTGTCCTTTTTTTTTATTCACAAATCCACATAATTTATATTTGTGTGTAAAGCCAAGGACGATGAGGATGGAATGCTTGCCCAATAAGAAGTATAGAAAGAAATCGTACCGGAGGCAAGGACGAAGGTTTCATTTTTTTATTATTTGTGACTTGAATAAGTGAGGGTTCGCAAACGTTAAAACATGCAACCTAATGATATATTTCATTAAAAATGACGGTATGAGTTTTTATGTAAGATAGATAAAGAGTCCTGTAAAACATGTTGATAAAAATGAACTTACAAGGTCAATTCTGTCAAAAGTGAACATCTGGACAACCAGTCACTCACATCCTGCGTCGATTATCACCACTTAAAGACAGACTGTGCAGATAAATCAAGTAAGGAGTCAGTTTTTGTACATCACAACGTCCTTTACGTTGACCGCGGGAATTACTTTCACTAAGAATTTACAATTTTCCCGAAAGAGCCAAACAACAAAAGCAATAAACTTAGTCTGCTGGTGATTAAAAGCATATTGAACTTGTTTGAAATATTTTTCATCATCTCATTTCAATTACAGTCGTTCGAGAGAGCTACTAAAGAAAAATCTGGCATCCATTGCCGTAACTCAAATAATAGATCTTAATATTTCTTCTTGTTAGTGAGTTCGATATGTTAGTAATTGTCATTGACAAATATAATATTTCTATTTAGCTCTTACCAATTTCTTGATAAAAGAGAGCATTGTTTGTTTGTAATTAAGCACAAAGCTACACAATTGGCTATCTGTGCTCTGCCCACTACTGGTATCGAAACCCGGATTCTAGCGTAATAAGTCCGCAGACATCCCGCTGTGCCACTGGGGGGGGGCAGATAGCATTGAAATGAACTCTAATTTATCGGTTTATTAGCTCATGTGAAACGATTTTCAATGAAGCTAAGAAAAAAAAGAGAAAATGAATCATATTTCTTTCGTATAAAAAATTCCACTTTGTGAAAATATATTTTTTCTTTTTTATTATGATTTTAGTAGATGCCCGTTGAATGAATTCAACAATAATTTTTCTAAAAATAGTGATGAATTAATAAAAAAAAAATGTGCAGTCAACCCAAAGAGCTGGATCATAGCGTATGTGCAATATGATTGTTTAGTGAGCTGTTTACAATCTTATTTTTTTCGTTCCATGTTTTAATGGAATAAGGAAAATTGTATTGCGTTTGTTTTTAAGTAAGGGAGACTGAATAAAATGCACTGTTGGCAAAAATATTTGGGTTTTGATGCAATGGGTGAATCCAGCACAATAGAGCGCTAAGTAGCCGCGGGGATTTTTCTTGCTAGATTTACTCATTGCATCAAAACCCAAACATTTGTACCAAACAAGTTATTGTATTCAGTTTCCTTTGCTTAAAAACAAACGCACTACAAATTTCCTTATTGAAATAACACTACTTTATTGAAATCCTTGGTAATTTTTACTTTGTTTTTGTCTACAACTCAAGATCAAAGAAGCCTTAGAAGTTTTAATCAAACAACTACAAAAACATAAATATAACAATGTGATAGTGAGCCTAAGGTATTACTTTTTGTACTTAAGCCTAAAGTGAAGACGTAGTGAGGAATCACACAGCATAGGCCCAAGAGCATAAAGTTTATAAGGAATAAGAAAATATCAATTCAGTTTTAAACCAAGATCATTTTTGAATTAAACTGTTTAGATGTCAAATAACTGAAGTTAAAGAAAACTTTTAAATTAACGCAGACACCAAATTAAAAAATCAATAAATATGTTTTATTTTTCGCTATCTAGATATTTCGTTTTACATTTTCAGTACATAGACTAACAACAATATCAGATCATATTAAGAAACAACAACACTATAACATCTCATAATATGTAAAAAAAACATTTCAATAACATCTTATAAGCGTTGAAAACTTTATAGAAAGTCCCATAACAATTAAAAAACACACTATAACATTCCATAATACTAAAATACCATTTCTACAATATCCCATAATAGTTAAGTAAAACCAGTCAATAACATCCCATAATAGCTGAAAACATTTATAGAACATAAATAATTAATATAGTAATTAATAATAATAGTTAAAAAACACTATAACATCCTATAATAGTTAAAAATCTATAGACATACTGTTTTTCTATTATCTCTTCTTTGTTTCTTTGTTCTTCTACTAAACATTCCTTCATTCCTCGGTGGATTGACTTGAAACTTAGTAGGATTATACTTTGATCCAATACGCTCAGAATACTTTTTTATATTTTTTTACTTATGCATTTTAAATTACTTTATGGGATCAAAAGTCAAACAATCCAAATATGTACATTTTAAGCTCCTGTGCGGTCATAATTATTGCAATCGAGATGAAAATTGGCACAAATATTAATTTTCATGCACCCAGCACATTCTCATCGAAAAGTAAGATCTGCCCAATTTGAGTATTTTTAGGGAGTCAGGGCTCATTCAAAAGTACAATTTTGTGGTTTGGGGTCAATTATTCAGTCATATTCTGACCCATTTTCATGAGATTTGGTACAAGGATGCTTTTCTACAGGTCCCGCACATTGACAAATAAAAATGGAGGATTTGTCCATTTTTAGTAATTATAGTGGTCAAGATGCCACAGAAAAGCATAATTTAGTTGTTTTTTTTTTAATTACTGTCACATTTCGTCCAATGTTCATAGGATTTGTTACAAAGATACTTTTTTACAGTTCACATACACATAAAACCGTGCGATATGCCATTTTGGTCATTTTAGGGCGTCAAAGAGTTAAATAAACGCATCATTTTAGGGGGGTTGGTCAATTACTTAGCCTTGTTTTGTTCAATCTACATGGGATTTGGTACAAAGATATTCTTTACAGGTCTCAAACATAGACATAGACAATTTTGGAATTTTTCCACAAGGAAAGCACAATTTGGGGTTTTCGTGAACTATTCATGTGTATGTCAGCCAACTTACATGAGATTTGGTACAAATATATCTTCTTGCAGGTGCCAAGCAGTGATATAGACAGTCTGAGATTTTTCTGTGTTTTTACGATTTTTTCTGGTGTCAAAATTAGCCATATTTGGATTGCATGGCGGAGGCATGTTGAAATCGCTCGCGAATGTTGGTCTTTTTAATTAATATTTTAATTCATACAATGATTTTTACATTGTTGTTAAGCCTGTCTTAAATTCTATCACTCAGCGATTCTACGGTCTATCTCTGTTAGACGTATTTCTAATGCATTTTCATATACATATATGGATATGCTGATTCTACACGATTTCTAGCATGTCTTTTTTTAGGCATGCACTTTCTTTGTTTTTAAGGACAAAATCATACAATGAACTATCTGCGCTGTGCCCATTGCGGGCATTGAACCCAAATATTTAGTGTTATAAACCCGTAAACTTACCGCTAAGCCACTGGGGAGTAGTCGTGTACTTTAAAACAATAGTTTTACATTGATTTCCTAGGACACCATTCCTAAGTTTAGTATTACGCTAATTGAACGGCGTGTCTTCGGCATCTTTCCTAAATTTAA